GGGGGAAGGCAAAGTTGTTGAACTGTTTCCATTTTGCTTTGTTTTGGCCAAACTGGTTGAGGTTTTTTTCCTTTTCTTTTTTTGCAAAATCTCAAAAAAAGAAGAGTTTTTCAGCTATTTGGGGGAAAATTCACTAAAAAAATCAACACCTCATCTCAGCATTCCCAGACATTTTAACCGATTTCTGAAAATTCTGCCCAGATACTATTTTCGGTGGATCAATCACAAATTCTGCATGTATGGCAGCCCTAATACTGGGATCCATTGAAATGAAGGATATGCCTTTAATTAAAAATACACACATACATAGATGCGTAAATGTATGAATACCAGTATTTTGGGGAGCTTTTGATACAAAATAAACATGTTTATATACATTTATACGTGGCTTCAAATGAGGAGTCAAAAGAAGTTGCAGTCAATGCAGGTGGAAGAATTATGAGGCTTTTGTGAGAAATTAAGAAGTGGCAGCTGTGCACTTTGATTCTCTGAGAATTTGTGGGCTGGCTTGAAGTTCCATAATGGACAAGAACAGTCTCTTTAATTAATAGGTTTGCCCACTGCAGACATCATTCTGGAAAAGAAACTATGGACAAATCTTCTAGCAGCTGTAAATAACTCCACACTCCACCAGGGATGGTTCCAGAGGGCAGGAAGAGGGCGTGGGAGCCCCTCCAAAGTATTTCCCATTATGCCTTCTTCTACCCCACACACCTGACTAGAAAAGGAGCATAACTTCATGAATCAGAGCAAATTAATTATCAAACAATCACAGTAGATTAATGTCTGAGTTTGAATTAAAATATTGAACAGCCTGCAGGTGGTATGGAATAAAAAAAATGCCTCCTTTTATCCGAACAAGGGTAGCTAGGCAGGAGTTAACTCTTCAGCCAGCAGACCTCTGGCCATATCCCCTAGCTGCCTTCAAGAAGCAGTAGAGCCTAAGCAGCTACCTTGTACAGCCTTTTGTGCATGTATGTGTGCCTATCTTTTTTAAAGGTGACTTTCTCATGCAAGTATAGTTGCACTTTACATCCGGCTAGAGCCAGTGTGGTGTAGTGGTTAAGAGCGATAGACTCGTAATCTGGGGAACTGGGTTCGCGTCTCTGCTCCTCCACATGCAGCTGCTGGGTGACCGTGGGCCAGTCACACTTATTTGAAGTCTCGCAGCCCCACTCACTTCACAGAGTGTTTGTTGTGGGGGAGGAAGGGAAAGGAGAATGTTAGCCGCTTTGAGACTCCTTCGGGTAGTAATAAAGCGGGATATCAAATCAAAAATCTTCTTCTAATGCTAGGGCTTTCAGATCAGAAGGTCGGTGGTTCGAATCCTTGCAATGGGGTGAGCTCCCATTGCTTGGTCCCTGCTCCTGCCAACCTAGCAGTTTGAAAGCACATCAGAGTGCAAGTAGATAAATAGGTACCACTCCAGCGGGAAGGTAAACGTTGTTTCTGTGTGCTGCTCTGGTTCACCAGAAGCGGCTTAGTCATGCTGGCCACATGACTCGGAAGCTGTCTGTGGACAAACACCAACTCCCTCAGCCAGTAAAGCGAGATGAGCGCTGCAACCCCAGAGTCATCCGCGACTGGACCTAATGGTCAGGGGTCCCTTTACCTTTATCTTTACTATCTATTATTTCAGTTCCTGAAACAATAGGCATACCCAAATGCAGCTATTTGTTTAAATTGCTTGTGTGTGGTAAGCCGGATTGTATACCAAAGTCTGCATATTAACAGAAATGTTCATTATAATGCTGGTGCTTTTCATTAAGATATGAGAAGCTGATGTAAAATGAAAGATTTCATGGAGAAATTAAATGAATGCGAAAGAACTGTACAACAATCAGAATGACTTTTCCAAGATGTCCCCAGTAGTTTGGTCAGTGTATAAGTGGCTAGTCACTAGGCCATTTAGGGCAGGTATCCCCAAACTTGGCTCTCCAGAAGTTTTGGGACTACAATTCCCATCATCCCTAGCTAACAGGACCAGTGGTTGGGGATGATGGGACTTACAGTCCCAAAACATCTGGAGGTCTGAGTTTGGGGAAGCCTGATTTAGGGCTTTAGGTAAGGTACGGGGCACGGTGGCACTGTGGTCTAAACCACTAAGCCTCTTGGGCTTGCCGATCAGAAGGTTGGTGGTTCGAATCCCCATGATGGGGTGAGTTCTCTGTCGTAGCTCCTGTCAACCTAGCAGTTCAAAAGCAAGTAGATAAATAAGTACCACTGTGGCGGGAAGGTAAACACCATTTCCGTGCGCTCTGGTTTCCGTCAGTGTTCAATTGTGCCAGAAGTGGTTCAGTCATGCTGGCCACATGACCCAGAAAGCTGTCTGTGGACAAACGCCGGCTCCCTCGGCCTGAAAGTGAGTTGAGCGCCGCACCCCATAGTCACCTTTGACTGGACTTAACCATCCAGGGATCCTTTACCTTTTTACCTAGGGCTTTAGATACCCACAATAATACCTTGAACTTAGCTCTACTGAGTTCACACTTGATCTACTACAACTCCAGAATCCCCTTGGGCTTTTCTCAGGCACTCTGGACTTCCACCTCTATCCCTTCAGGAAGTATCCCATCATATCCCTACCGCTCTTGGTGTGACTCTTTTTGGTGTCACCCTCTCCCACTGTACTCCAACCAACCCACCTTAACATCACTATAACCCTCTCCTTTTGCCTAGCTGTAAAACTAGACAAAAACTTGATTTTGGCATTAAATAATAATTGTTGGTCGTATTTAGGGTTAGGTTTGGTTTATAGCCAGTTTCAGACAATGTTTGCTTAAAGATGATTAAAAAATAGTCGGGGAGAAATGTTGAAGACATTCTCAATGTCATATGCATTATCAATTACTCCACAGTAATTGATGTGCACATTGAAACTGTCTCTATATTGTTTTATTCTTGGAAAATAATAGCTTTTATTCCAAAATAAACAAAGCAAAATACAGGGCAATAACACATATCATATTTATTAATCATATCCAACTTGTACTTTTATTTAGGTTACAGCTTGTTCTATATATGGGTATTTTGGCACTAATTATAGAACAGATTGTGCGGGGATTTCTACGGGACTGCACTATGGCAATACAGATTAAGCAATTAACCTTGATGTCACTGTAATTATTAAGATACTTTAGCAAAATGAACTAATTTCCCCACAGGATGTTCTGCTGAAATCAACTTTCCCTCTCTTTAAGATGCCAAAATAGGAAATGTTAATGGAAAATTAAGTTTGCGATTTTTAATAAATCTACAGGGTATATGGCTCTTTCTCAGTACTGTGTATTTTAGGTGTTTTGTGCATAATAATTCCAGTTAAGGCATGATAAATTACATTTAGAGAGAATTTTCTTCCATCTACATTTGCACAGAAAAATGCCTGTATTTTGTGAAATATCCTTAATAGGATGTCTTCTAATGAAAAGATGCAGAAATACGGCTGCCCACAGTGTCCTGCTATATAGTGCCACAAAAAGGACACATTCTGCACAGTGGCACAATTTGCCCTCTACTTGCCATGCCCTTAAAGGACAGCACATAATACCATAATTCTGATCCCTTCCCTTCACAAAGCCCTTAACATGATCCCATTGTTATCCTGGAAGACCAAATATATTGCAGTGGTAGCTCTTAGTTTCACTGTTTACAGATATTCTAACATATATCCTTCACATCATTCCTTACTGATATGTTCCAAATATTCACACTCCCCAAATTCCTCTAGTTGTGGAAACATTCTGGAGCAGCAGTTTTATAGTGTCTGCTTCCTTACAAGGAGAGTTGGTTGAGAAGAGAGTGGAGGTAATGGGAAAAGCCTGCAATCGTGCTACGTGCTAATCTTTTTGGCAGTATCACTTGACCCAAAGCAACAGCATACATTCCCAGGGTTGAATGAATCTTTATTTGCGTCAGCCATCGGCCATAGCAATAAAAGAACAATACAATATGCAAAGAATAGAAATAAAAAGTCAGTTATATAAAATACATTTTAGGGTTTTGAATCAATAGTCAAATAGTGGCTCTTATTCTGATTGCCCCAGCTAAAAACCTTGCAATCTTTGCTGTCACCTTGATCTGCCAAGAGAAAGGACACTGTGGCAGTGGTTGGGCAACCCGGAATGGACAATAAAAGAGGGGTGATAATCTCATTCCTCAAGTCTTTATAAAGAGTGCAAGCCAGAAGGGCGTGTGCCACCAATTCGGTACTGCCATCTCCACAGGGACACAAGCGTGGATATGTCATTCTAAAACATCACAGGGCATGCTTGTCGATTAAAGCGCTTATTACCTTGATTTTTTCCCATCGAAATGCTGTCTCCCTGCTGCTAGTTGCTGGTTGTTCTGCTGTGCCCTCTGATGTTACACTTTAACAATGCATTATGAACTTTAAAAGTAGGACGTCATTGTTGGGAATTCCATTCCACCCTCTGCTGCAGATATGTGGGATTGTTACATGTCACATGTCTGTTTACATTCCAGCACAGATTGCTGGAGTTCCCATGAGCAGAACATCTGCTCTGCATTGCTTTTGTTTTCTCTCTCTCCGAGAAGAACGACAGGGAGAGAGGCCATGTTTTCCTTTGTCCTGATTTATGTATAATAAATGCATAGTATAGTACAGTATCCACGCCTTGAGCCTGATCTGTTGTGTGTTTACTCTGCTGAGAAATGTGTGTTCTTGGATGCACAGCAGCTTGAGTCACAGATGCACGTCGGAGGAGGATGACTGATGGATCTCTGCAGTGGCAAGGCTGAAAAGGGAGACACTCCGGCTGGGGCCAAGCCAGCTGGCTTTCCATCCCCGGTTCTGACAGTCATGTGTCCATATACATTATCAAAACTCTTCCTTATCCCTTCCTTAACATTAAAAAACCATGGGTGTAGATCTGCCCTAAGTCAGGGAAGAAACTTCACCAGACCTAGAATTGGGATAGAGAAATTGTTATCAAAACACAGACAGAAAATGACTGTTGTTGTTGTTGTTGTTGTTATAAAATTGTCCAGTAGCACCTCAGAGACCAACTAAGTTTGTTCTGAGTATCAGCATGCACACAAAAGCTTATACCCAAAACAAACTTAGTTGGTCTCTAAGGTGCTACTGAACAATTTTATTATTATTATTATTTATTTCAATTGCATCAGGCCAACACGGCTACCTACCTGGATCTATTGTTGTTGTTGTTGTTGCTATTATTATTATTATTATTATTATTATTATTATTATTATTATAGTGTTGAGTCTTGACATTGATATGAAATGAACATGAGGGTGCTTGCATGAAGATTAGATCTCTGAAGTAGAGTTATTTGCAAATGAACAGTTGCGAATACCCGATACAGCACAATTCTATTGTTTAGGTGAAATAAAATGAAATCTTATTAGCCATAAGAACATGGGATGTTTGTAGCACCAGCACGCCCACAACCGCCCGCCCAAGTTATTACCAATATGTATGAAGTTGACAAAACCAGAGGTATCAATATAGGCAATGACAATTAATTCATTCCTCATGCATGGTTTGCATGCAAAACCATGCAATCTGGAATGACCATTGTGTTTAGAATGAAGAAGAAAAGATACAAATCTAAAAGTAGGCTGTAATGTTAAAACTGACAGAAATGGAGCGGAAAACATTTAAAGTCATTAATTCCTTCACATTCCTTCACTTCATTATATTTCACATTTAAACGTTTGAAAACTTCCTTCTCTGTTCCTTGTGGATTCAATTCGGAAGTGATAGATTTATTTTTGCATCCTTTTTTATTATGATAATGTTTAAAAATGTCTGAAATTATGCTGGGATAGATTCTTTTTTTAGAGCATGATGAAAAGTGGAAGCCAGAGCTTAGTTTCTTTTCACCTCAGCTCCTGGTTGTGTTGAACGGAACACAATATCTTTCCGGGCGATTTTATGAATATGTACATAAGTGGGGAAGGTTTTCATCTATTTTGAAAAGAAATCCCATAGCCCTTAAGCAGTATGAAAATGAACAAGTCATTTCCTTATAGCTTTCCTATTGTAGATATTTCAAAAGTCCTTCACGATGTCTCAAAATGTGCACCATTTTGATTAGATCATTATACCCTTGGAAATTATTATTGCTGCAATGTTAAATATTAATCACACTCCACAACATTTTCTCTGTCTCTGAGAGTTTATAAGGTGATATGATTTCTGGTCTGAAATACTATAGTTATTTCCCCAAAGTAGAAGTGAAGAATACTACTGCCTCCTCCAAAACCTACTGAAACTCAAAACTGCATTAATATTGACTTCAATAGGCCTTGATTAACGTGTATTACCACCAAAGCTGCTACAGGGTAACTTGAGGTAATAGATGAGCTCTCTCTGTCCTTTAATAGTCATGGATCTTTTGTTCACTGTAAAATTGGAAAATGTGGAAGAGAAGCTCGAGTCCCTTGAATTCGTTAACTTGGCTTGCCAGCAATCGGCACATTTTTCTACTCCTCCACTGCGCATCATAAACCCTTATACGATACTCCAACAAATAGTCTGTCCAGCAGCCTCAGCTTTTGGAGCTGGAGTCAGTCAACGCCCCCATCCTTGGTCAGGTAGAAAAGGCCTGCAAGGCAGGGAGCAGGTCTTCCAGGACTCACAGCCAAGATACCCTGCATGCCGTGAATGCAGTGCCTTTTTTGTTCTCTTCTACTCTTATGCAGTTTGGGACGCAGGTGGTGCTGTGGGTTAAACCACAGAGCCTAGGGCTTGCCGATCAGAAGGTCGGCGGTTCGAATCCCCGCAACAAAGTGAGCTTCCGTTGCTCGGTCCCTGCTCGTGTCAACCTATCAGTTCGAAAGCACACAGTGCAAGTAGATAAATAGGTACCACTCTGGCGGGAAGGTAAACAGCATTTCCGTATGCTGCTCTGGTTTGCCAGAAGTGGCTTCGTCATGCTGGCCACATGAACCGGAAGCTGTACACTGGGTCCCTCAGTCAGTAAAGCGAGATGAGCGCCGCAACCCCACAGTCGTCCGTGACTGGACCTAATGGTCAGGGGTCCCTTTACCTTTACTCTTATGCAGGCATGTAAGGGTGGGGACCAGTAGTCTCGGTTGCACAATTTTGAGGGGGCTTGAACCAGGCACACCCAAGCAGGGATCTTCATCCCACCCTGCCTGGATCCCGGAGTCTGGCCTAGCCGTGCCACTATGTCCCTGGTCCCTTCACTAAATGGTTGTCTGGCCAATATTGGGGGTACGCCCACCAAAGGCCGTGTAGACCAGCCGGGCTCCCCCCTGGGCGGGTGGACAGGCAGCTTGGCATGGCCTTGTGAACTCTCTGTGCCCCACACCAATCCGGCAGCCAGGGCTGGGCTGGTGCGGCGGGTTTCATTCACCCTCCGTTGCCCACCCAGCGTACATGCATGCCCCGGGCACCAGCAAAGAATGCAACGCCACTGCTCCTATGGATTGGAGTCCATGGGGAATCTTCAAGAATGTGTTGAGCATTTCACTTCAAGGGAAAGACCCTGCATATGTGGATTTTTGTCTCGCTTTCCAAAGTGTTTAAGTTTTCATAATTTGTTATGGATCTATCTTTGCTGTATATGGGAAGTACATAGGAAGCTGTCCGATGGTCCAATTAGCTCAGCACCATCCGTAGAGATTGACAGTTGCTCTCCAGAGGTTTAGGCATGAATCTTTTCCACCCTACAACAGATGCCAAAAATGGAACCTGAGACCTTCTGCAGGCAAGGCAGTTATTCTAATACTGAGATATGGTCCTTCCCCTAGGCCAGGCATAGGCAAACTCAGCCCTCCAGATGTTTTGGGACTACTAGCTAACAGGACCAGTGGTCAGGGAGGATGAGAATTGTAGTTTCAAAAATAACTGGAAGGCCGAGTTTGCCTATGCCTGCCCTAGGCATTATCATTGCATCTCAGAAGCTACTGTTTCACAATGTCTTAATACTTATTATTTATTTATGTATTTATTTATTTCTAGGAATACAAAACCTGGAAGTTTTGCAGCCTTGTGTGGTCATTGGGTTAGCTGGTGCCATTTTATATAGACAAGCCACACTTTATAAAATTAGAAATGCTCTGTAAAAGAGAAATGTATAAAATGCAATTATGGAAAAATAAATGATGTCTTCAGGATATATCTTTATTATATTGTTCACAATGCATAGCTATTGCTGGACCATTTCCAGCTTCAAACAAGGTTGTTGTGTGCCACTAATACATCATAAAACCCCATTTTAAATAGCTGAAACTTGGCAGTGAGAAATTTGCTCCAGGCTATTTCACATACAAATGTCAGCTTGAGAGCACATTGTTTAAAATACTTTCCGCATTGTTAAATAATAAAAGCAGAATAGTACATTCAAATAGAAATCTAATAGTAAAGTTTGGTCTTTGCTTTCTGCTTTTAAACTAGGAGGATTGCAGAACAGCAGACTAGTTGAGTGGGCAAATATATAATATAACAGGCCAGAAATAGCAAAGTGAAATGAGCCTAAGATCAGCCAGTCAATTAAGCCATCAATCAGTCAGACAAGACATCTAAGATAAAGTGATTAATTTCACAGCAAGGGATTCAACATTTTGAGGAAAACTGAAACATCGAAGTCTCTCTTTCTGAAAGCGCATGTTTAGGGCTAGCATGTTTAGCCCCAGTACTTTATTAGATAGGTGTGTTTCAGTTTAGGGTTCTTGGTTGTTTTTTATAAGGAAATTATGAAAGAATATTTTAAAATAACTAACCGATAGATGGGTAAAAACCTCCCATCTCAGTTGGAGAAGACCCAAGGATGTTTCTTCACAATTGTGGGATCTAGGAGGAAAGAAAATAGCAAAAAACGGATGCTTTCTAAAGGTCTTCCTAGGTTTCCAGCCCTAAAATGAAGCCTTCTAACTATGCTTGGATTGTCCAGTTCTGTGAACTGTCCTGTTTATTAGGGCTGTGCATTGACTGTGGCTGAATTCCAGAGCTTGAACCAAACTGGGTTGATTTGGGTCAACTTGGGATTCAGCCAGAGTAGATTGAGGCCATCTCAGATCACCCTGAGTCAGATAAGATCTAACTCAGGGGTCAGCAAACTTTTTCCACTGTCCCTCAGACCTTGTGGGGGGCTGGACTATATTTTGAAGAAGAAGAAAAAATTGAACAATTTTTGCCCACCCTCAAAGAGTCCTGAAGATGCTTCGCTTTACCTGTCCCAGTTGTCATCCCAATAGCTGCAGTTGGGCTTCTCCGACCAGCCAGGCACCGTGGCAGGGTAGGAGGCTGCATTGGCCGGAGAAGACAGAAGCTGCAGCCCTGGTGGAGGAGCCGCGGATGGAGGTAGGGGAACCGGGGCGTCGCCAGAGCTTTTACCCACCACCTGCTGCTGCTGCTTCCTGAGAGGCACTGCAGAGAAGAAGACAGAGCCGCCCACCCACCCGCAAGCAGTGGCCTCGGCCAGCACAACAACCTGCTTGAATGCCATGGGAGGAATGAAGGAAGGAGGGAGGGAGGCAGGCAGGCAACGATGACGAAGGAAGTGTGCAAGGAAGCGACGCAGAAAAGGGGCGTGGAGAAGGAAGAGGGAGGAGGAGCAGGAGGAAAATGCCACACACACCCTTCACAGCGCCGCCCTGATGTGGTGGGCGAGCAGGTGAGCCGACTCCTGCTGTCGACGGCACCCGGCATGGGACATGATTGCTCCATCCCTGAGGAGAAAAGTGCCGCCATGTGAGGGAGAGGGAGAGAACGTGTGCGCTGGCGATCCACGCGGCGATTCCCGGACTGTTCGCGGGCTGGATCTAGAAGGCAATTGGGCCTAATCTGGCCCGCGGACCTTAGTTTGCCAACCCATGATCTAACCGGAACAATAGCAAGTGATATTGAGTGGACTAGATAGTTCTCAAAGACTAAGCATCTCATAGCTACATTTGTCTTTTAAAATACGGCGTGTTTTCTCTGTTTTTACTCCATGCTTTTTAAGATACTGACATCCAATGTAGCCTTCATGCATTGGGGCTCCTTCTTCATCTTCTCCCTGTGCAGCCCACCCCACCCCACCCCAAACACTTGCAGATGATTGGAATACTCTTCTGTGCATTTTGTGTGTGCCTGGTTGGAGCTATTATTTCACAATTGACTTCCATTTCTGGGGGAAAAATTATTTTATTTATTTTTACTTCTAAGAGATTCTTAACCACACAATCCTACCCAATCAGGAATCATGTAGTGAATGTGATGACATCACAGCACCATGTAGCTAATTGGATTTGGCTTCCTGATGATGTCAATGTGGGAAATCCTCTCACCGCTTCCTGATACAGTGGTGCCTCGCAAGACGAAATTAATTCGTTCCGCGAATTTTTTCGCCTAGCGAATTTTTCGTCTTGCGAAGCACGAAATCCCATAGGAATGCATTGAAAATCAATTAATGCGTTCCTATGGTCAAAAAAAGTCCAAACAAAGCCAAATTTGGTACAACAAGAGTTTATTAAGTGCTCTTTAAAGTCACACATACTGTAAAGAGCATTTCAAAATTCAAACCCAGAATTTTTTAAAAAAACAGCAGAGTTGCCCAATGGTCACAGAAAATCATAAAAATGCAGGAAAAAACCACAAGCTTCCAGATTCTTGCAAACCCCTCCCCAACTGTTCCCCCAGCCACCTAGCACACAGAAATTCAAATCCAGAATTTTTTTTAAAAAACAGCAGAGTGGTCCAATGGTCACAGAAAATCATAAAAATGCAGAAAAAAACACACAAGCTTCCAGATTCTTGCAAACCCCTCCCCAACTGTTCCCCCAGCCACCCAGCACACAGAAATTCAAATCCAGAATTTTTTAAAAAAAACAGCAGAGTGCCCCAATGGTCACAGAAAATCATAAAAATGCAGGAAAAACACACACAAGCTTCCAGATTCTTGCAAACCCCTCCCCAACACCAAGTCCTTGAATTCCAAACACCCCAACCCAAAATCCAAAAACCCCCAAAAAAGTTTTAAAAGCTTAACTTACCAAATGGCTGCAAAAGAATTTTTGGAAAAGCTTCAAAAATCACCAAAGTCTTTAAAAACCTCAAAAAAGGCTACTATGTACACTGCGTTCTATGAGTTGCTCCTCGAAGTCAAGTCGCAACTGTATTAACAGTGTTAAGAGAAAGGAAACAAACTTGCAAGACGTTTTCGTCTTGTGAAGCAAGCCCATAGGGAAATTCGTCTTGCGAAGCAGCTCAAAAAACGGAAAACCCTTTCGTCTAGCGAGTTTTCCGTCTTGCGAGGCATTCGTCTTGCGGGGCACCACTGTATTTCCTGCCTAACCACAGGGCTGGATTTAGGTTTGATGAGGCCCTAAGCTACTGAAGGTAATGGGGCCATTTATATGTCCAGCTGTCCTTTGTCAACAACAAATTGTCGCTTTTTTGTGTGTTGAATATAAGCTGTATGGTAATTTATGGACCTAATAGGTATCTAAAGCCATTAGCACATAACAAAATATGTATTTTATCAAAATAATGGTTGTACTGAAATACAATTAAGAAGAAGTATATTAATAGTGAAATACAATGAAGAAGAAGTACCGTATTTTTCGCTCTATAACACGCACCCGACCATAACACGCACGTAGTTTTTAGAGGAGGAAAACAAGAAAAAAAATATTCAAAACGAAACAGTGGATGTATGATTTTTGTGGTTCATGCTGTGGCCACAGACATGTGATCTGACAGTGAGTTTGGAGTAGCCCAATGCAAAAATCCTGAGGATCCATGTGGATCCGTGCTTTGTAACCACGTTTTAAGTGGGGAGGGAAGGAAAAGCACTCAAGGGACAAGGAGCATGCGTGGGGTGTGTGGAGAAGGATGCTGCTAATAATGCAGGAGAGGGGTTTAAGGGGAGAAGGAACACGCGTGGGGTGTGTGGAGAAGGATGCTAATAATGAAGAAGAGGGGTATAAGGGGAGAAGGCTCCTCTCCTCTCCCGCTTTGCTCCTTTAAAGCAAGCAGGCTCTCTGTCCCTCTCTCCTCCCCACTCAGTGGCTCTTCTCCCGCTTTACTCTTTCAAATTGAGCCACGGAGGAAGGAAGGAAGGGGAACCATGGATCCTCTGTTCATGACTGCAGCAGATCCCCCCCCGCCACCCGTAGGCATTCCCTCCATAACACGCACAGACATTTCCCCTTACTTTCTAGGAGGAAAAAAGTGAGTGTTATGGTGCAAAAAATACGGTATATTAATAACATTACTTACATCATAGGAGCCTACACAACACAAAATACTGTTGCTGTATGTAGGTTTTATTTTATTCATTTTTTATCTTATATTTTGGAAGTGTACATCCAGTTGTTTTTTCCCTTTAAATTTTTTTGGAGCCCCCAAGAGAGTGGGGCCCTAAGCTATAGCTTGTTTAGCTTATACATAAATCTGGCACTTTCTAACCATAAACTTAGCTTGAATAGCTTGGGCTGTGGGAGTATGGATAGCATATTTTTTCTTTTGCCATGGTGTGTAAGATGTTTACAAAAATAAAATAAAATTTGAAAAGGGAGCACTTGTCCCATTAATTCTTTTGAAAATTCAGTGCAGAAGGTTGTGTTGGATAAGTTGCGTTAAGACTATGTCTTGTAATCATTAATTTTTTCAAAAAAATTTTTTTAAAAAAACTTAGACACCAACTAAGTTTATTCTGGGTGTAAGGTTTTGTGTGCTTATCCATCCAAGCTCCCAACTCGAGCAGGTACCATATTGTTGTATTATCTCTGACTTCATGAGCTACCCCATCAGCTCACAACTTTTTGAAGTGTTGCCCCTTTGAACATCATTTACTTCTTTCTATAGATGAGCTTTGACAGAAAATGCTGAACCTGTCTTTGAACTTCTATGTATTTGGACATTTTGGATGCTTCCTTTGATCTCCCTAGAAGAGGAAAAGGGACTCTCCCATCGTTTTCCTCTTTTATGCAAAGCTTCCCTGGTGAGGGCAGGTAAATTTTTAATAAGGCCCACATGAAAGGTACTTAAAATTCAGCTGGGAAATGAAAGAGTTAAGGTAATGGGTTAAAGAGTTAAAGAGGCAGGCCTTGATCTTAGACCTTTCAAGTTGAGTCAAAACATGGATAGAAGGAAGAAGAAGGAAGCAAATCCCCAGTTATACTGAACATGTGTACATAGCTTTGGGAATGTAAATCAGTAATATTCTATTCTATATCACAATATAACTAGCCTTCAGTGATTGAATGTTTGGTCCTATTAATTTAGGAATTACTTTCTACTATCACTTTTTTTAAAGCCACAAGGTCTGGTGTATTAATTCTTTTGGTGCTTTCTCCCCAGTATGACCACTCAATCCTTGTCATAGATAAGAACCTGCATTCTTATTTAGAAGATCTGATGGGGAATAAAAATTCATAACAAAAGGCAGTAGAGTGAATAGGGGTGTTGGGTTTGTAAAACTGGACCAGTTTTAAGAAGGATAGAACTTTTTTCATGTATGCCACAACAGCAGCAAGAATACTCATTGCAAAGTATTGGAAGACACAAGATCTACCCACTCTGGAAGAATGGCAGATGAAGTTGATGGACTATATGGAACTGGCGGAAATGACTGGCAGAATCCGAGACCAGGGAGAAGAGTCGGTGGAAGAAGATTGGAAGAAGTTCAAAGACTATCTACAGAAATATTGTAAAATTAATGAATGTTAGAACGATGTTGGATAGAAATTAAGTGGTTTCCAGCTGTAATGCTTTAAGGGAATATGAAAAATGGGTTGTTAAGAGGTAAAAATCTAACGTTACTATTTTAAGACCAAAGATTAGGACAAATAAAGATGGTAAGGATTTGCTGAACCAACAAACTGAACTGGAATACAAAAAAGGGAGGTATGAGGAGGTCCGGGAAACAAGCAAATGAAAGATAAGTGAGTGAAAGACTGAATTGTTTTTAACTATTTTTATTTTGTATTTTTCTTTTTTCTTTTTCTATTTTGTAATATTTTGAAAATCCTAATAAATATCTTATAAAAAAATAAATAAAACTGGACCAGTTTTTTAATATTGAATGGAAACAAAATTCCTAGTAGAGTTTATTCTGTTCTGTTCTGTTCTGTTCTATTCCGATCTGTTCTGATCTCTTCAAAAAGGGGAAAAGAGAAGACCCAAATAATTACTGCCCAGTCAGTCTGACATCAATACCAGAAAGATTCTGGAGCAGATCATTAAGCAAACAGTCTGTGAGCACCTAGAAAGGAATGCTGTGATCACCAATAGTCAGCATGGATTTCTGAAAAATAAGTCATGTCAGACTAACCTGATCTCGTTTTTGACAGAATTACAAGCCTGGTAGATGAAGGGAACGCAGTGGATGTAGCCTACCTTGATTTCAGCAAGGCATTTGACAAGGTGCCCCATGATATTCT